CAATGGAAAAACTTGAACCGGAAACCGCAATAATTTACACCTTTGGGTGTTAGCATCAGCCATACTGTTGGAAGTCACTAAATGCTCTCTAAGACGATTAAAAGAGAGCAGCTTAGTTTTGGGGCGTTAAAATTAACAAAACTTTTTTGTTCTACTTAATAACAGATTGGAGATCATTTTTTTTAAATCAACTGCTAATTTTACTTTAAAATTAGTCGTAATGTCATCTTTTCAAAGATTTATATAACGTAGTAATTTTGTTTAAAATATTAACCCTAAAATCTGTTTGCCAATTCTGGATTTCTCCTTGTTCAAAGCTGAGGCGTTGGTACGCTGGTGCCCACGACGAATCAAGCATTTTATCCATGATTACATTTCCAGAGCAAACCATTTCTATGTAGAATCAGGTTGTTAGTTACAAAAAATAAAATAAAATAAAATGAATATTCTTATAAAGCAAAGTGCCCATATGTATTCTTAGGTTACAAAAACTAAACTGAATTATTGAAGTCTCATTTACAACTCATATGTATAAAATATGCCTTGTCGCCACATAGTCTCTTTCAGAATGCGGTCTGGAATCAAATTAGACAAATATAAATGAACAAAAACCAATCTCTCTGGTTTCATGCTGCCTAGGGTAAAAGTCACCGATTCAAAGTGTGAAACGTGCGCTGGAAACTAATGAAGTATAAAGATTTGTATGATTTGGTTTCATTTACGAAAATTACTGTCGTGTTACGACAACAAGCCACGACAAAATAGACACAAAATATCAATTAATCAATCAGAATTAGCAAACAGCTAATAAACTACAACAATGTAAAATCTTTGCGAATATAGATATACACGATTCTAAGCCTAGCTCAGTCGGGCACAAAGTCATAAATACGTGGGAGTCCAGAAGAGATCGAACTCAACAGACAGTAATAAGTATCTTCTTGATTAGTTCGTTAACAAATTACCGCGGTGAGGCACCAAAATATTCACGAAGCTTAACCTCGACTGACACAAAGATACAAGTGTGGAACAGTTGTCCATAAGATTCGAATGGTCAATGAAATCGAACACACCATATAAAAAATGGCTGCAGTAATATGTTAGAGAATGCGTAGGCTGACCAGGAATAGCAAACTACTGACCAGAACCTGAACTGAGTGGGGGGGGTTGAACCCCGCGGGGGTGGAATTCCCACAGTGATGATTTCCTTTGTTTAACGTTTGACATAAGGCCAAAAAGGTGCGAAGGCAATCAAAAGGCGACAAGAATTAGAAGGGTTAAAATACCTGCAACACTCAGATTCCTTAGTGAGGCAAGCCAGTACGTGGGCTTGCGATTTTGGCTAACCGGTTAAAAAATGTTCTCTCTCTCTCTCTCTCTCTCTCTCTCTCTCTCTCCTCCACGCATCCTCATAGAAACGATTCCACGACCACTGACCTTCATAAAATAAAGCGAGATAAAAAGAAAATCGTACGCCATTGATGCAGTCTATGATGTAACGTTGGGATCTGAAGAATTGAAGCAAGAAATAATGCTTTACGGCAAGGACTCATGAGCCTTTTATCAGGTTTATATTAGCCTGATACAAAGTCACAAGGGGCACTCAATGAGGATCGGTCACTACAGTAACGAATAATATTCATTAAAGGGAAACTTGATACGTAAATGTCCAAAGCATGTCGTAAAGTAATCAACCAAGATCAAGGTCCAAGCATTAAAAAAAAAATCCTTTTGAAACGATTTGATAGAGTATTTACATCATTTATGCACGGGCTATTGTCCTCATCTTTATTGTTACTATCATAACATTTCAGTTGTCATACTCTTCAGTTTTCTTCAGGAGTCAGTAGACCCAGGTAAGCTTCAGGAGAATTTTAAACTGAACCCTTTATTTAATCTACAGAGGTAGATTGTTCTTCTCTCCATGTCTAAGGGTATCTCATCTTGTTCTTAGTACTGCTCAGTTATTGCTCACCCTGTTTCCAGTGAGTCCAAGACTTCACTGCCCAACCCAGGGATTGAACTCAACAATTACTATGTTATCAAATTCATAAAACAACACTTTATACCTAGTGACTGAATAGTACAGACTTAGACAAAGTGGAAACAGGACAATAGCAGAAAAAGAAAAAATCTAACTCAGTAGACTAAATAAAGGGTTCAGTTCAAAATTCTATAAAAGGATACCCAAGGACCAGAAGAAGAAAAGAGGCTTCAACAGTCGAAACATTGTTCTAATAAAGATAATAATAATAATAAAGATGAGAACATTAGTCCAAATGTAAATAAAAAAACCTAAATTTGAATATACTTAAAAAAAAGCCCTGTAATAATACCAACAATACAATGACATGCTAAACTGACCTTAGATTAAAAAAATGCTAGATCTCATAGATTACCACAGAGACAAATGAACATTGCTAGCATGACACATTTAAAGAGAATTCTCTGCTAAAAAAGTAATTTCTGGGATGAAGAGATATTATCTATATTCAGACTAATGTCCTCATCTTTATTGTTATTATCATAACATTTCAGTTGTCATACTCTTCAGTCTTCTTCAGGAGTCATTTGACCCAGGTAAGCTTCAGGAGAATTTTAAACTAAACCCTTTATTTAATCTACAGAGGTAGATTGTTCTTCTCTCCATGTCTAAGGGTATCTCATCTTATTCTTAGTACTGCTCAGTTATTGCTCACCCTGTTTCCAGTGAGTCCAAGACTTCATTGCCCAACCCAGGGATTGAACTCACAATTACTGTCTTCAGATTCACGAAAGAAAACTTTAACCTAGTTTATTGTTCCGTAGAATAAAACGGTAAATATGTTTTTAGTAAAATTAATGTAAAAAAAAGAAGAAAATACCTTTTCGTTTTATTTAAAGACCAAAACATACCTTTCACATTGTCCAATAGGTAGAGGCTTGTCTACTGAACCAGCCTCATTAAGCCAATTTTTCATTCATAATTTATTCATTTCTTTGGTCTTAGTGCAGATGGATTCATGCCTTTCTCAACAGTATTTGTGTAAAAGTAAATGCAACGGTTATAATCGAAATTCGAACTCGGCTATTTCATATCTAGTTCTAAGCTGCTAATTTTTACATTACCTCCACATTCTAAGCTAATCATGAACGCCATTTTTTGTATCATGAGATTCATCGTCACATGACGATCCATTATTGTGACCTTATGCCAGCCTAGTTAAGTTTCACGACAGTAATTTCGAATCACTTTCAATCTTTCATATTATTTTCATTAAAAAGACTATCAAAGTATAAAACTGTTCGAACGTTGAATTCATTGGTCAATTCTAGCAATCACAGATATAAACAGTTTTTTTTTTTCATTTTCAATAAAAAAAATTGATATGTTTTTACATCTCTGAAATGATTGTAAATATTTGAAACCCTTCTCTCGAATCTTTGGTCTAATCGTAATGGAAAAACCAGACCTGCATCCTTTGACTAATTCCGACACGATTAACTTCCGTACAGTTGTGAATGATACCGCCATTTTGAAGTCACCCAACCCAGGAAGATTATCTATCATTTCGGCGTGTTGGTTTTGATCTTACATGAAAGTATCGATCTGTGGATATGGAAAATAAATTAAGTCAAGAGCAGAGAAACAGGCGAAGATATAAATCAATTGTGTTGCTTTTCATGAGGTTACCTATCAAAGGACATTTCTCCAACAAAGAAAGGTGCTAATCAAATAGATACTGAGGCTTTCAGTAAATACCTCACTTGTAGATGTCAGAGACGCTACATTTTTCCTTAAAATAAATCTTGGAAACTGAGACCAAATATTCCATTGCAGAAAGTAATTTGATATAAGAAAGTGATCTAAGTTTGTATACATGTTTTCTATAAACGTATATCTATAAATTATTTTTATATAATTATCAAAATAAAATAATGTGTAAAACTATTTGGCATTGTAACAGTATCAGCTAGAGTATACCATTCAATGTAACATGAGTAATTCGCCAGTCAGTTTTAAAAATGTTGACTTATAGATTAGAATAACTTATTTCTGAAGAAGTAATGAATTCTTATTTTTTGATCTAACATATTTTATAACTTCAACGTTATTTTTTGTGGATACTCATTTTTGAATAGACGCCCCGTTTATTTATTAAACAATATATTTATTTATTTTCGTCTACCGGCCTGAATATTCGAAAAATCCTATTAAAGAGAGAGCATATTTTTCTTTGATAAAATTTCTTGAATGTTCAGCTGGTAGATAAAAATAAATAAATCTACTGTTTAATAAATAAACGTAGCGTCTACTCAAATATTGGTATCGACTAAAAACAACTCTGGTTCCCGGGGTTGGATCGGAGTCCAGCTGGAATCTTTTCTAGCTCTGCTGGTCAAACTCTCTACCTTCGGGCAGAGGGAATTCTCAGACGAGGCTATGTCGAAGGGCAGAGTCTCGTCTTGGGAAACAGCTATCGGACCCCGTTTTATACGGGAATTTTTGGCCGAGCCAACGGGCTCGGATCCCCCACTTTAAAACTCGGCCTTGTGCCACATCTTACCTTGTGGGAAGGTTGGTAAATATTATCCACTAAAAATAACGTTTATGAAACAAAATGACACTTATCCGTATTTTCCTGTTTCTGCAAAATGTTCAATGGACCTCAAATCAGAAGGATAAGGAATACTACGAGCTATTGTTTGAATACTACCATATGATGGTATGTCTGAGTGTCAATTTTATTTATTATACCCTTCAAGCAAACACTTCAATCTCAGAAAGATGTGTAAAAGTTGAAAAAATACAACGTCCTTTTTATTATTATTTATCTGGGATTCTTTCTTTCTTTCTTTTCTTAATGCTATGTCCCTTCAGCATGTAGGTGACCACTACTCTCCATAGCTTCCTCTTCCTTAAATATCCCGTCAGGATGTAGGCGATCACGATTCTCCATGGACTCTTTTCTTTTATTGTCTATCAATTCGTTCTTGGAACAAAAATGATCTCCTTCGGCTTACGTCCATATCACCTTGAAACACCGCCTCCCGTATGATCACCGAAGTTAAGCAACGTTGAGTCTGATCAGTACCTAGATGGGTGACCGTTTGGGAATTCTAAGTGCCGTAAGCTTGGATATGTGGGTGATGTAATGGATAATGGCTAAGAATTTGAAATCGGAAAGCCGAGTTTCAATTCCAGTTGGGTTCGTTGTACCACTTACGCGCAAATACCCATGGCAAAGATATGAAGCCAAATCTCCCCCAGTTATGGGTTAATTAATAAAACGTATCATTAAAAGAGTAATATCATCCCCCAAATTTTACTATCTAAAGATATTTTCTGGACTTAAATAACCTGAAAAAGTTTGATAATTTGTGACTGTCTCCTTCATGGTTTGGAATACAGAATCTTCCTTCTCTCAGGCTAATCGCCATATAAGTATAGACCGTTCACTTTACCCTGATATTTAACAAAAAGTTGGAGAAATTCAAGGTGTGGTTATAAAACACGATCCCGAGATAATGTGTCTCGTTTTTGAACGACTGGATTAAGTGATCGACTTTCGAGCAAGCTTTTAACTCCAGAATGAGTATTCTACTTTGATATCAAGAACGACATTCCTCCTCCTTTAATAAACCTTGTCGAGAGTTAGGTTGTTCGTGAAGACATAAGTGTAAACGATGGAGCAGAGCAAAGACAAAATATCGCCTCATATCGTCTCAAAAGACCTTACGAGGAAAGAACTGTAAAGCTGAAACATCCATTAAGAAATTTTGCAGACAGCAACTCTTCCGGTCTGGGGAACCGTAAAACGAGAAAATATTTGATTATATTACGATTTACCGACTGAAGTGGTTTGTCGGGAATCAGAAGAAGGTTGACCAATGAGAAGAAGCAACAACCCGGATGTAATAGCAGGAAGAAACAACAACCCGGATGAAACAGCAGAGAACCGGTTAAGCCAGTTCCAGTCGAGAGTTGTAAGTATTTTAGGAAGGGTGACATATCTTCTTGCATGTTTCGTGTCTCTTCGGGACATGAGCGATCATTGCCCTCCACAACTTCCTGTATTTTGTAACGTTTACCTAAGCATTGAAAGTCAATATTCGTCGCTTTGAAATAGAAAAATGAAAATATCAACGTGACGAACAGGGGTTGGGGTTATAATCCCAAATCTTAAAATCCTGAAATTAAATATCCCGAAATTTGAAATCCCGAATGTATCAGAATCCCCAAAGATCAAAATCCCGAAATTGAAAATCCTGAAAGATCAGATTCCGAAAAATAATCTCCGGGAGAAATTGAAAAAAAAAAAAATGTAAACACCTTTATTTCTAGACATTTACAAAATGTCATTTAAATAGTATTTGTACATTTGAAATATTTAAAATTCATTAAAAAACCTTAAAACCAAAATATCTGAATAATTTATAATGAAAGATTATGAGCAAGAACCCTAAGATAGTCCATAAGATCTGGTCGGTTTTCATGAAAGTTAACTATATTTTAAAACCTTTCATCACGATAAAACCTTTTTTACTTTTTGGACACTACTCTCCCTCTCCTCTCCGTTTCTACGTACTGCTTCTCTTTTTGAAACTCTCCAATAATGCGATAAACAACGACATGATCATTGCCTACTAAATTTTTCCATCACCTAGTCGCCCTATTCTTCATTTTTTTAATGAATTTTCAAATGTATAAACACTATTTAAACGCTATTTCGTAAATGTTTAGAAATAAATGTATTTCCATTTTTTTTTTTTTTCAATTTCTCCCAGGTTTTTTTTTTGGATTCTGATCTTTTAGGATTTTAAATTTCGGGATTTTGATCTTTCAGAATTTTATGAAATCGAGATATCAAAATTTCGGGATTTTAAATTTCAGGATTTCGACATTCGGGATTTTAAGATTCGGGATTAATGATCACCACCTGACGAGAAGTAATTGTTTTAATTCTTAGTTGTCCCAGAATTCTTTATCTGTGAGGAAATCTAGGACAAACTCCGAATGAAAACACCTACTACTTCATGACGAATTTAATTTTTTTTTTATTTCAAAACAACGGATATTGTCTTGTTCGATTCATGACGGAGAAAACATATTTTCTACGAAATTTCTCGAACATTCAGGCTGGTAAATATAATTAATACTGTTTTTTTAATAAAAACAAACAAACAGAGCATTTACTGAAATAAAATGTATCTATTAAAAATGACGTATAAGCAGAAAATTTATTAAAATATTTGTCGGATTTAATTCCCATTCATCTATATATATATATATATATATATATATATATATATATATATATATATATATATATATATATATACAGGCTGTCCATAAAATTGTGTGCACTTTAAAAAATTTATAACTTTATTTATATTTGCGATAAAAATAATCTGTAAAAAATGTTATAAAGTTTAATGTACCTAGTTTTAAGTATAGCTAAAATAACTAATGTGATTTCAGGCATTACTGTAAATCAGTTGGCAAATGTTTTCCATGAACTGCAAAATCGTATTACCCTTTGTATTGCTAATGACGGAGGACATGTTGAAACTTAAATAAAATATCAATAAAGCCTTAAAAAATATAGATTGACTTCTTTCTAATCCTTTTTACAAATTATTTCTATCGCAAATACAAATAAAGTTATAATTTTTTTAAAGTGCACACAATCTTTATGGAAACCCTGTATAATTTTCTACCTCAGATATGTCAATTATGAGAATAAAAATGCATAACTAGATGTTAACTATATTTAGATTATAAATAATGAAATACTTTACTGTAAATCTTTCCATCACCGAATAGTTTTGTCTGTTGTTCCGCATGAATTGTATATTGCTTCTGTTGCCCAAATGAATAAAGATTAAACAATTGTGGTATATTAGAAAATCTTTAAAATATTAGTTTTCGATTAAAAAGAAAAAGAAAAGAAAAACTAATAAAATATTATGGACGAGGCTAACTTCTTTTTCCTTTCTTCATGAACACTTGGAATGTTTCCGGCATAAAAAGAATCACGCTCGAAATCCAGTCGAATCCATTATATTAACTTACGTGCTAATAGCCTTGGAAAAGATAAGAATCCTCTTTTTCTCCCTACAGCTATAAGTAAATAGCAGGTCAAACCGGGTTCTATAACCTTTGATGGCAACTGGTCTACCGTAGAAAGAAATGGCAACCTACTGTGGGTAAAAAATCTGCCTTGTCAGTCATGTATCAAAAGATACATGATCGCCTAAGCTTGTATCCCGCATGGCACGTAACTGAAGTGAATCATTATTCCACATTTTTAAAAATCTCTTCTTTCTTTCTTATAAGCATTTGGAATCTATACACCAGTTCAAATTTGAAAATATTATCGTCTATTTAATGTAAATATCCAAAATCACTTAAAAATAACGTTAGATTTTAGGACTAAAACCTTTTCCCGCCATTCCGTTCACGTGATACTTATATAAAACTGGTGACTGATGGCCGTACGTACGGTCACCGAAGTTAAGCAACGATGCGCCTGGTCAGTAGCTAGATGGATGACTGCTTGGGAATACCTGGTGGTGTAACCTTGGATGTGTTCTAATGTATAACGTCTCGGAATTGTTAATGTGTTCTAATGGATAACGTCTCGGAATTGTTAATGTGTTCTAATGGATAACGTCTCGGAATTGTTAATGTGTTCTCATGGATAACGTCTCGGAATTGTTAATGTGTTCTAATGTATAACGGATGGCCGTACGTACGGTCACCGAAGTTAAGCAACGATGCGCCTGGTCAGTAGCTAGATGGATGACTGCTTGGGAATACCTGGTGGTGTAACCTTGGATGTGTTCTAATGTATAACGTCTCGGAATTGTTAATGTGTTCTAATGAATAACGTCTCTGAATTGTTAATGGGTTCTAATGGATAAAGTCTCGGTAATTTGTTGTAATGGATAACATCTCGGAATTGTTAATGGGTTCTAATGGATAACATCTCGGAATTGTTAATGTGTTCTAATGGATAACGTCTCGGAATTGTTAATGTGTTCTAATAGATAACGTCTCGGAATAGTTAATGTGTTCTAATGTAAAACGGATCGGAATTGTTAATGTGTTCTCAGGGATAACATCTCTTATATATAACTTATTATTGCCTTCGCGCACATACCTTTCCTTTCATCATGTCATAAAATTTATTAAAAAATATATTTCTATGGAATACAAAAAATCTTTTGATGTATATTTTACTGCAGACGAAATATTTTTACAATTTGTATTTCACAGATCGATTTTTGATTTGAAATATTTGCATCATAATTGATTCTTGGCGAAAGAGACGTCGTTGATATGAATTTTAGCATTATATATTCCTAGTTTGAAAGGAAATTTTGGTTTGAATAAACAATACATTGTTATTTTTATTTCCATGTATTTTAACATTATTCCGTTAGAGTCCATTCAACTTCATAAACGATTAGTTATTGACTTTAATCGCTGCCTATTCCTTATTTAATCTGGGGTCAGTTTAAACTGATGCCTTCTTTCTCAAAATATCTAAGCCATGATTATAATATCACTGAAATATATTGGAAAGTTTTCATATGTAATCATGAAAATACGAACATTAAGTAAAATTGTCCCATTATATAAAAAAGAGCAAGACAAGAAGATATGGTTTAATTAGACGCATGTGATCATCTTCTACTTCTCAAAGACACCAAACTTTGTGTTTTCACTATTTTGGTTCGGAAAAGTTTCCTGACTCATCAAAAACTTTGACTCTATGCAAGTCCTTTCTCTCAGGTCCATGAAGGTAGTCATGAAAGGCCAGTATTTTGATGGTCATAAGAAGAATGCACGTTAAGAATGTCGTAAATTGCAGCTGTTATTCCCTCTGATCTAACTTTCATAGTTCAATTAGGAAATAACTGACTTTCAATAACACAAAATAGTATCGTTTTATTATCACCAGTTAGACCAGGACTTTTCTCTAACCACGATGAATTGTTTCACTATCAAGGATGCTCCACACTTTAAACGTGTATAGAATCTTAATTTCACTCCAGATTTCAATACAATTGATTGCTAAAAAAGTTGGAAAATGGTGGGCCTATTCCATCACTCCAGGAACTATCC